AGCAAACTGGGAAGACCAGAGCCCTAACAATGCTTTAAAACTGGCATTGCCTGTATCCAAAAGGGAAAATGGGCTGGAACACATTCTCGGAGGGCAGCACCCCAAGCTTCAAAAATGAGGCCTGCACATGTCTAAATTGCCAAACAGCATTGCTAACTTTTTGACTGGTCTCAGCATTATTTGAAGCAGTTTACTAACACTGCCAATAACATTGCACATCATAGAACACACATCTTGTAACTGAACCACAGACAGTGCTGAGCCACATAAGGAATCCAGGAAATACATACTTAAAATGTAAACTGCTCAAACAGAATAGCTACTGATGGTCTGGCAGTACAGACACAGATTGCTTCTTTGAGGTTCCAGACCACATTTTAAGATACTTCAATGGCTGCTGCCATGGTCTTACTTTAAAAAGCCTCACTAATTTCTCAAGGCATCACGTTTAACAAAAGGCCAAAACAATTTCTCTGAATAAATATTTAGCCTAATATTACTGGATATGTTTAGGGCATAGAAATAAAGCATGCTTCCAGAGGTTGTATAAAAGAGAAAAAAACACCCTTTTAGAATTAGTAGGTACCACTCAAATCTGAAGCTTGCACTGTCCTTTTCAATCCTAGCAGAGAAACAATTAATAAAGGAACCCATTAAGACCTGATTATTGCTGCTAAAAAAGGAAGGTAGAATTTCAGTCCTTTGAAGTAACTGAGAATGATTCAGGCCTCATTAGAGAGATATAATCTACATTCATACATTTATGTTAGTGATTCAAATCTATTGGGAGAGATTGAATTCCGTTAAATAGTGCATCTTTCCTGTGGAACTTTTCTCAGGCTTTCTCGGGCTAACCTAAGAGGTGACCTAACAATGCAAAATAGTGGGGTATTTAGGGATTCAACTGTGCTATAAAAGAAAGGCTGTACAGAAAAGAAAGAGAAGAATGAGATATAATCTAAAAAGCTATGTCAGCTTTTCCTTTGGGCTGTTTTGTAAATGCCTTTCCTGTCATCACGCTGTACAGAAGAGCGGCAAAAGGGCTCTAGAACTTTCAAACACTGCACCTGCTGCAAACAGATTTTAATGTGGAAGTTTTGAAGATGTCTTTTTCCCCATTTTAGGCAGGAAAAAAAATAAAACTTCTAGTTAAAGGTTTGAATAGCTTCTTCTACTAGAGCAGAAAGTTGATAGATATGCGTCAGTGTATGGATGTGAGGGAGAGAGAGAGAGACAGAGACAGAGAGACCGAGAGACTAGTTTGGGTTGGGAGAGGTGTCTAGTGTGTGTTTAAAAAATTTTTTTAAATCCCAAGCTGGTTTCAATAGTGTTGGTTTCCAGTGTTACAGAAACCCCAAAATAATAACTTCCTGTGTGTTGTAACTTTTTACAGCAGATTCTTTATTGCATGGTTTCATCAAACATAGTTTTAAAAAAATACATGTAGTTTTAATTAGTTGTCAACTCAAACATTTGGATTCTTCTGAATTATTGGGCTGAAACACAAATCCCTTAGAAACACTACACTCTTTTTCAAGCACTTGTACAGTCAGGTATACAACTGTGAACTAGAAAATTGAAATTAGCACTGTGGGTTCATTTTTCAATATCCATGCTTTAATTAAAGAGCAAGACTTGTTTGACGTATGCTCTTTATTTGCTTAAGTTTCCAATTAACAGCTACAGAAGTCCAAGCTAATTATATTAAACTTAAAAATCTACTGTGATGCTCATCACATTGTCAAAATCTTCTGAATAAGCATTGTGATGAGTTATAAATAAAGCAATTAAAATACTGATTCTAGTATTAAATAATTCTATTTCAAAGGCTCTGAATGCACAGGAAAATATAACAGCAAACATGTAAAGGCATCTTTCAATTCACTAAACAATATAATTGGGCACTCATTCATAACGCCCATCTCTAAAGCTAAATTTTAAATTTCTTTGTATTTTCTCTGGTTCACAATAAAGATTGAGGCCAAATGCACATTAGAAGGATTCTGGCTTGTTGTGCGTACACAAGCTCTTCTAATTAGTTCCCTCCAAATTACATTAGCAGTTAGTTGTTAAAGTCCCAAGTTCACTTTGAAGTGTTTCCCTGTCTGAGATTGGCAACCTAACTTTTACATTGAGCCATATGAAATTGCCACTTTTGTAGGTCAAAAACTGTAAAATACTGGCAATTTCAAGTGCTTCAACCAAACACAAGTGTGCAACTGCCTTACATAACATAGATACTTTATACCATCACGTTTAGGCATTCCTCCAGTCCAGCTTCCCCTAGCTGAGAGTCATTCTTAAAGAAGTGGTCCTCTAGGAACGCCTTTTAGATTGAAATAGGTTGACACAGCATTTCCTTCTTTGTGTTTCTTTCTTAACTCTTGGCAAAGGCTTCCTAGGCTTGGACTTGGTTCTGTCTATACCTGGGTTGTGAGTGACTTCCTGTAAGCAGGGGGTAGTTGGGGGTGGTGTGTGGAAGAGCACCAAAAGAAGAGGGCGACTGGTAGAGAACTTATATTGTAAAACAGAGTCCTTTAAACATCAAGTGTGGAGATAAAAACAAAAACAAAAAAACGCCCCTTTATGGCAAAGTGTAAAGGAAATTGCACAGAAAAGAAAACAGACAGCAGGGTATTCGGGCCAAATTGTATGGTAAAATCCTTGAGATCTCAATAAAGTGCGTTCGCTTTGAAGTGCACGCGTGTTTCAGTAAAGGACTCATGTTAGCAATTAGAAATCGGTCATTTGGGTCCCTGATTTCATTTGCGCCAAGAGAGAAGCGACTTTTAAGGGTGACGATAAATCTCCCTGAGCTTAAAAGGCAGAGAAGGCCAAAGTGTGAACTTTTTACTTCAGCAACGGAAGCGAGAAATCAGCGATTCATTAAAGAGGAGACCTCCCTGGAAGCTGGCAGAAGAGCAGGAAAGGAAGCTAATTACGTCTCCCTTTTCTGTGCTCGCTCCGACCAGTTTATAATCTGTCGCTTTACAGGGTTTTATCCCCAGCATCTTCTGCTTTCTCCCCAGCCCTACCCCCCTCTGGGAGCAAGAGTGGAAAGAAGAAAAAAAAAAAAAAAGTCAACCAAGCACCAGGCTCCAGGTGGCTCTCAAGTACTTCACTGCCAAAGGGGGGG